GGAAAATTCAGAGATTTTATGGATTCTGTGGCCGTGTTTTCATGTGGGATCGATCGATTCGAAGTATTTTATAAGAGGACAAGATGTGATTATTGGTTGTTTCTTGAAGGGACGTTTGTCTTGTTCTACTTACACTTATTTCTAAACTAGGCGCGTTTTCCTATGTCAAGTCTTTGTTGGGTGCGGTGGACGTGTGACATGGAGGTCGGGTAGAAAACGACAAGGTGGTTTTGAATCGAGAGATCGCACATAAGAGCTGAATTGCTCAAATTGGAGAAGATTATCCACTATTGTGGGATTTGTGCGACAGGATCTGACGGTTCTCTGTACCCCTGTATCCAATAGAGCCCCTTTGGAGGATCCTCCAAGGGCCTCTCAGCGACCAACGTATTCCTCCACATGGTTTTATTGGTGGTGATGTCTAAGTGGTTTGCGCTTCCAATTTATATTGGAATTTGGCCGTAGTCCGCGGTTCACGGTGCCTTCCAGCTTATGTGAATACCAAGTGCCAGACTGGTTAGGAAAACTTCTTCTGGAAGCGTCTCAAAGGTCTCCCTGACCTAACTCCTTACACCGACAAGGTTGGAACTTCTGCAGTTATCAGAACAAACGATAAGTACCCCGCTGTGGGAATTTCTCTTTTACTGGTATCAATTTCATATTAAATTAAACAAGCATAATTAGACTAACCCAAGTTGCATTTGCTCATTATGTTTGCATAATGTTTTAAAGGCAAATGCTCGTGTAATGTGGAGGAAACTCACACTTCAGTACAAATGATCGTATAGACAATTATATATTAAAGTCAAATTATCCCGTTTAAAGTGTAATTGGAACTTTAAGTGAACCTAGTATAAGGCTGAACAAGCAACAACTCTGCCCAAAAAGCTATATATTATATATTTGTCCAATAAAGATACTTTTAGGCCATTTGTTAGTTATCTCAAGGCTCTGTTTACTGGTGCTCAATAAATCTTGTAATTTGATCTATACAAAATCAATTTCTTTATTTAATTATTAGAATTTCATCACTCATACAATCAAGAACCAACTCTTATCTCGACTGAGTTAGCGGTGGGCCTCAAGTGTACTTGCTCTGGTTTCCCATTTTATATTTGCAATAGTTTTTCTTGAATAAATAGACGGTAAGGGTACATCATAACCTCGGCGGCGCACTTAAAAATAAATCTTTTGTTATGGTGGAATATTGTATTTAATTAGTCAATTTCTTAGCTTCTATTTCTCTTATAATATTTCAGTAATTTAGCATACCCTCTTTGTTTTTGTTTTCAATTAAATAAACCGAAACAGTTTATCTATTGACATAACTATAAAATTTTGAGTTTTAGCATCTTTTTTTTTTCCAAAAATTTTTTGCTTTTCCATTTTTCAAATTGGTCAAAATACTATGACCACTCACGACTTCATATAGACCACTCGCGTTTAAAACAACATTTAACTGGAAATTTCAAATTTGCTGTGAATCGTTACTAGGTACACAATTTTTTTATTTGAACAGTTTGTTTCGCCATTTTCACTTTTTTACTTTTTATTTCAAGGTTTTAATGTTTTTAGTTTTAAATTCCACATTCACACACACTTCCCTATTTTGTAACTAAGTACCCTTAAAAATTTCTTTAATTTTCGCCTCAAAAAATTAAATGTTTTGAGAAGAAATTTAAAAACCTCGCAACACTGTCGAAACACAACATACTCAAGTACCTACTTGCAAAATATGATACGTTACTCGACTTCATAACTTGTTACATTGTAATGTCTCATCGTTTCCCCCATTAATTTCTATTCAAGCTTCAAATGTTACAATTAAAATTTGCTTCACTAGATAAAAAGTCAGGTAGCACTCCGCTAACAAAATTCAATTCCACAAAATCATTGTGTCCTAGTCGTTTCTCCAACATCTGTTTCCACGGAACAATGGTGGTTTTCCTTTTTTTTTATTTTTCTTTGTTTATGGAACCAGTAAAGTGCCAACAATAAATATTAAGCATCACAAATAGCCCTTTTTAACAGCATTGTGCTTCGAAACGGGCGAATGTTTCTCTTTAAATGCTACGCGATGTAAAGGCTAGAGATGACCTACTTTTTTTTCTCCAGTTTTTCCGATTTCGATCAAAACGGAGAGGTCCTTTTATGATGAGAAAAATGCCTCTCAAACCGATTCTCTGCACTACTAACGGCAATATCAAAGCCGTCAATGTTTAACTTTTGTTTGCAGCATTTTGAATTACGTGCTTCAAAAGAAAATTACTTTTTTTTTAAATGAAAAGTATAAACGTGAGGAGTCTTAAAACTTAAGTTTCCACTTTCAAATGATAATCTTAAAAGTGGTAACTTATCCTCTAAAAGCTTTCCTTGTAAGGATTCAAAACCCCTAAAATTAGGCTAATTAAATTCCCGATAATCAACACGTAGCTTTTCAAATAGAGAGGCGACCGTCAATGAGGCTCCCTCCTCTTTAAATCGGAGAGAAAATTCAAGTGCAGGTTAAGGCTCGACTTCTTGATGGGTCTTCAGATAACGAAATAATGGAGAAATATTGAATTTATTCAGATTTCGAGAGCTGAATTATTTTGAGTATTGATAATTGGACTAGGAGACGAATTTATAATCAAGTACTATTCAAATTTCAATATTTAAGAAGGGGCATTTGATAGTCGTAATATTGATAAATACATCGTCTCACTTCATTAGTTCATCATCAAACTGTTATAAGTCTGATAAAAATTTTAGATAATTTCGTACAATTTACCTATGATATGAAGCAACTTTTTCAGCAACATTCATCGCACATCAACCACATAGAAACTTCTAAAGAGGAAAGGGGCCAAATTATCAAACGATGTCAGATTTGGTAATGAACATTGAACATGGCATTTTTTAATGGAGAATCTGAAAGTGATGCAGCTTTAGTAGTTAAAGAACCTTGATTTGCATTGAATAGGAGGAGCTAAACATTGGATGTCAAGACCTTCGAGGATTCTGAACAATTATTGAGAAAACCTTTATTGTTATTATTGGTGGAAAAACTATAGCAGAGAAATGGAAAAAGATGGAGACCATATAACAAAAAAGAAACGTAAGATCTGAGGTTATCATTCCAAGACGCTCGAGAGTAAATTCTTATAAGATTACTTTTATTCCCAGATAAACATTAACACTCTATAATAATTTGAGTTGGCACCCGACTTATCTGTGAAGTTGAAACTGTAGAAGACTAACAGTTGATGATTTATTGCGATTTTGGACGGATATCCACTATATCCTCTAGAAAAATATTGATGAGTCAAAAGTCTTGGAGGCAAATCTTCTTGGGTTCATAATCAAGTGAAGTGACGCTATTTGTGGGAATTATTTAGCTGAACTGAGGCTTCAATTTATTTATTTATTCTAGTTGCTGTAAATTTCTTTACATTCTACGTGTAGATATTCAACATGATGACATTTTCCATTTCATTGGCATCTTCACTTAACGGTATAACAAACTATATAATCCATCGCTTCAGTTCCTTTTAAATAAAAAAAGTGTGTTATGCTTCCTGAAATTGTGAACGAATAAACTGAAATTTCCAAGAAACTTTCCACCTCAACTGCCAGTAACTAGCCAAGCGTACCAACTTGACAAGAGTCGGGAATCGACGTGTCCCTGTATCCCTGTTTGAAGTTGAATTGACCACGAAAACTTACAGCCGGGAGCTAAAAATAGACGACGGAAAGTCGATAGATGCAATGAATATTTATAGTATAAACGCGTTGTAGTAACCGTCCATGTTTCACGACCCTTTTCGCCATTTAATTAACGCTCGTTTTCTCTTCGAGAAAAATGTGCCGCACAGGTTTTTAAAATATACGAAGAAAATGCGCTCGACGCGCATAAAGAGAATCCATTAAGTAAATTCTAATTAAAAATCTTTCGGGCTTCAATATTCTCCAGCCGAAACAGGAAACCTGGAGGCTATTTTCTCCGAAAAGTCTATTTTGATTTATTATAGTCGCGTCCCGGGGTCCCAAGAACGTAGGAATCTGAATGCCGAAGAGGAGGAATAACAAAGCAGCAGATTTTATTATTACTCGACGCACTGACAGTTGACAGTTAAATCTCTATAGAAATATGGCCCTCGAGAAGGCGCGGCTCTTGTTTATATTAAAATAAATAATTGAAAATGCAAATGGGAAGTCTTGCCAGGGGTATTATAATGAATCAAGTTAGAGTTTACCTAATGGAGCTTATAAATCGTCTATTTACATTGCTTTTCGTATAATACTGAAAATGATAATGAATTAAGTATTTTCAAAACTAGTCTCAATTTCACTTGTAATGTAATGCAGTTCAATTTTGTTTTTAAAATACAGTCGATGCAAAAACTACAACATAGAGAATCTCATGTTTCTCTGAAAGCAAAAGTTCAAGTCTTATAACTCTCAAAACATTAAATTTAAACTCACAAAAGTACTTCAATAATAATTATTGTAAAGTTATTTCAACAATCCTCTAAGGTATCCATCAGAAACCAATTACTTGCAAGTTTTTGTAAGTTTTCGAAAGCAATCTAGCACTAGCGTGCTTTCGAAACTTAACCGGCTCAAATAAGTGGTTTTACATCTCGAAATACTCTACTTTTTGCCCACTTAATAGGAAAAATTTGTGGTCAAAGAGTTTTCGATTGATGGATAGAGTTGGAACTTCAGCACGCGAGTGGTTCGTTTTTTTAAATTAGCTGACATGCGAGAAATTCGTCAGTATTTCTGCAATAATATAACTGTTTTTAAATTTCAGATTGTTTGAAACATTCCCTGCTGGTTAAATTTAAGTAGACTTTATTTCATTTTGTTCAGAATAAATGTGTGACTTTCCGGTCCTGTGAAAAATGCTATGATAACTTGAAGAAATGTTCACGCTACAATGTACTAAGGCCGTTTCGTGATCTGCCTACCAAATCTCCTGATTTGACTGCCTTTGATTCTTTTCTAGGTAATGAATAATGTCTATACTATACTATCTAACCCAACACGCTTCAGGATTTATCACCGACATAAGTCTTTTGGAAATAATGGTAAATTGTATTGAAAGAGCACGCGTCTGTAGAGCTGGTGCGGCTATACAGAGCTGTATTGCAGTTAACGCTGCGGGCATCACAAAAGAAGTGGTAACTATTTTTCCTGTAAAAACGAATCGGGGCACAGAGGCCGTTTATAGAGGTCGCCGGAGTATTGAAAATGATTATGTTATTGGAAATGATTTTAGAGAGACTAAATCCACTGGTAGTGAGGCCGTGGTGGATTTCTTTAAGGGTAAATGGGTACCAACCTCTAGAAACGGGAAAAATAAGTGTGAGTTGACTGATCCACCAATAGTTTTGAGTAATAAAGAAGGTAGGAGAGATACAAGGTATCTTATTGAAAATTCTGAAACTCACCAGATTGATAATAGACCAAAACAGTTTTCGAACTACACTGAGATAGAAAATAGTAATCAATTTCACCAGTTTGCTACGGGAGGAAATGATCAATTCTCCAAGTGTGGTCGCATATCTAAACGGCCACATGTAGTTAAATTGCGTGAAAACTTGGAAATACCTGTTTTTCACGGTTGCGATTTTAATGTACCTGTACACACCCGGGTCCCTGCAGGCATTAAAGTCTGTGAACGATTAAATCATACAGATGTCGGTATTCTTACCGCGTGTAGTGTAATAGAAATTCCTGAAAATTCAACAAGAGAAAATAGAAATATAGTAGTTCGAATTCTGAATACTTCTCCAATGCCACAGACCATTTATAAAAGCACTCCCATTTTGAATTTGGTGGATGTGACTAGGTTGAAAGAAAGTTCCACCGCTGATGCTCTCTGTGGAGCGGATGGAACGGGTAATGTTAGTGAAGAGTTTAGTGATAGTAAAATTCATACAAGTTGTTATGAAGGCCTTATTGTGGAGAATATGGTTTCTCATTTGAAAGGAGGGGATAAGAGGAAGATGTTGCAATTTTTACAGAGTTATTCTGATATTTTTGCAAAGGATGATACGTCATGATTACTCATAAGATCAATACAGGGGATCATTTGCCAATCAGACAAGCTCCGTACCGAATACCTTATGCTATGAAAGAAGAAATGGACAAACAAATAAAAGAAATGTTGGAGCAAGACATTATTAGACCTTCTATATCACCGTGGAGTGCACCAGTAGTTCTAGTGGAAAAGAAAAGCCTAGATGGACAAAAGAAATTCAGATTCTGCATTGACTTCCGCAAATTAAATTCGATTACGAAACGAGACATTTTTCCAATTCCACATATCCAGGACACTATAGATTCTTTAGGAGGCGTGGAGATATGGAATATCCGTTTGACGAGATTTTTAAACCTTTAAGGGTTAAGTACAATACTAATACAAATTATGTTTCAGAATTTTTACAAAGAATGAAAATTGCCCATAAAAATGCTTTAAATAATATGGAAAGAAATACTCAGCGATACCATGATAATTTCAATAAGAAAGCATTCCCACATAAATTTAAACTAAGTGATAAGATTTATTTATACGAACCAGCGGATAAAGTTGGAATCAGTAATAAATTGGCCAATAAATGGACCGGACCATACAGAATTAATGAACTAACAGGTGTAACTGTAGAAATTCACGGAAAACATAGAAAAAAAGTGCATGTCAACCGGTTAAAATTATATTTAGCGTCGGAGGAAACTAACAATCAACTGGCAAATGTTCCTCTTCAATATAGAATTAAGGAAAAATATTTTCCTTAAGGAAGTGAAAGTGTCCAATTTCAGACAAATCCAGCTGGTACAGAGAAGACAATATGTACCAATTCATATACTCACCTGTCAAGTGACTGTCTAACAACTAATTGACCATTGCGGCATGCATAGTCATCGCAGTACCGTAGCCTTAGGCTTTGGAAAATATATTCAGCATATAGAACCAGAACAATGTCTGAAGGTTCACCGATTCCGTCAGTTAGATCTCAAAGGAATGGGAACTGGTGTTATTTCCAAACTTATTCTGAATGAAACCACAGAAGTTTTAGCAACTCTTCAGGGTTTTGCCGACGCCAATGGTCGTTGCGAAGGTGTATGATTTGCCGTGGGTTCTATCCAATATGCTAATGTGGTAGCAGCAATATCCATTAAACTCCAAGATTATGTGGCGGTCGCCGATGTCGAACGAAATCTAGTTACCCTCTACGGTCTGGTGGTGTCTGTCCGTACAATGATAGTTATTGTTTTGATGATGTTGAAGGCGAAGTTACATGGCAACAACATCTATCCAGTTTATACTATACAAGTGGTGTCGACGTACTATACGAAGGAAACGCTACTCTCCTTGTATTAAGTCGGAACCCACCTTATAGATACGTCGTTGTGGAAACCGAAGATACAGTTTTCGCTTTAAAACTGACCTAACCAGAAGAAATTTGTGCTCAAAAGGCTTGGCTAACTGAACAAAACCATTTACTTGTAATTTTTGAGGATTCGGTTGGATTCTATTACCATCATACCATTCGAATTTCTCAAAATACAGACATGATGGCTCAAATACTAAGTAAACTTTTGTATTTGGAGATTGCAGTAAAAAGACAAATGGCTAATGTCATCTACCACTTAATTATGGAAATATGCCATTTAAGAGAGAAGATTTTACAAAACAGATTAGCAATGGCAAAACAATCGCCCGAGCCGTTGGTAATCTGGTCAAAGAAACATCAGGATATGTTAGTAGAGTGATGGGAGAAGTACTCCATATTGCTTAATGCAGAGCTGTTGTCGTAGACTATCGAAAGACTTCAGAATGCTATCAAGAACTTCCTGTGATCTATCTGAACAGATCACTATACAAAACTGCTATTACACATATCCTAGTTGAACATGGAACCAAAGTAGAATGTCAACCACTACTTCCAGTGAATTTCAAGTTGGAAAATAACTGGTTCAAAGTAACACCTGACCTAAAGCGCACCATCGAAGCTTTAGAATTAGATGCCAATGACGAAGAAGACAAACTATTAATGCCAAGTATTTCCATCTCTCCTATCAGTTCCAATGGAATTTATTCCAAGGAAGACATGGAAAGTTTCCAGCAAACTCTCTTATATCCAAATATCAGAAAAGCAGTAACTAATCAAGTAGCCCGAAGGATCATAGCCCTCGATAACTCAGACCCTTATTACGTGCCAAATCTGTTTAGTGAAACCGAATTTACAAATATATAGCACATTCCGCTGCCAAAGAAGTGTGGGGATTTTTATCCAGAATGGGAAATTTATTTTCTATCTGTGGGTTCTTGTACACCATAGTTTGCGCTGTTAGTTATTTGGCCGGTGTCCTATCAAACTATTTCACCATCAAAGAAGCAACAGCTAACCATCCACGAAGACGACAATATCTTTTAGCCAGTCTGTGGAATACTTTAGCCCATACATATTTGTATCAGTTAGCCAACCAAAAAAGAAATCGTGACGAAGAAGACCAGAAGATTGAATTGAATCCAGTGTCAGTTAATGCTACTGCCCCCCAGGAACAATCAAACTGTTCGTTGTATCCAGGACTGCCAAAGTATGCCGTGCCGTGTAGTGACCCTAACTGTAAAGTGAACGACGAAAAAAATAATCCGCGTGACCCATAGTTCGCGAGTGTGTGCGCTCGCTACTACGTATTAATTGCTGGGATAAGGTGTTGTATCTTGGACGATTTGGTCATGAGTGATTATTGTTTCGAGGTCTACAAATATGCTTCGAGCTTAAGGGGAGGGTTATTTGTAGGAAAATCAATAACAAATTTATATTCTCGCTTCAAATTCATTATTCGTGGGAAAATTTTTATTTTTATAGATAGCTAAAATGTGACCCTACAATGAAATTTACAAACACATCGGGTTCTGCGAAAGGCCTAATCTGTTCGAGGTTAAAAATCACTTGAAAGCAAAAAGTATCAAATTTTATAGCTTCAAGATTATTATTGCTGTAACCAAAAATTGACAAATAAATAGGCAAAATTTATGTTTTCCGAGATAAACACTAAACTTTAACTAATCTCTCGACTGAACCAGATCCCATGTGGTTGTAATAATTTATTCAAAGTCAAGAATAATCTCTGACCCACGTTTTATGACGAACCCAGATGTCAGGTAACCGATAGCGTTGCAAATATATATTATATTCGAAGCATATGTGTCTGTATGGCGAAGCAATAATTACAAGAGCTGGATTTTTAGGATGCAATAACCAATTGTATAATAATAATTATAATTATCAAGGGTTATTACTATGGTCAAATGCTTAGTTATAATTAAGATATAGGTAGGTTAAGATAGGAGTGATTACTCAATTATTTTATTATTATATTAATAGAGGATAGTTTAGTTCGTTTCACACCCTTGATAATTAGGTTAGAATATTAGGGAACTCTTATTTTATTAGCCTATCCAAAACACGTGACTTTGACAAGCAAACAAAGGGTTTGTGTGCCTCTTGGTAGACATTTTTATTTAGGTTTGACAGCATCTTGGAATTGTCAGTCTATCCAAAACAGGTGACTTTGACAAGCAAACAACGGGTTTGTGTGCCTCTTGGCGGACATTTTAATTTAAGTTTGACAGCATCTTGGATAGTCTAATACATTTAACTAGGTTAGAAATTAAGAAATAAGAATAAAAAGCATATTAGGTAATTAGAAAAAGGAAAGGTTAAGTAATAATTTGATCACATGTAACTAGCGAACTCTATTGGAGAGCCATCAGATTGGATCACAGGGTGGAGCACTTTGGATGGGGAAAGTTGAATAAACTTGAGAACCAATGGGAACACGACATAAAACGAAAGAGTACTTTCAGCGAATCGCTGAAAGCTGAGATGGCTGGAGATCCTCGATAAAGTCGATTCTCGCAAGCCCGGTACTAGAGGGTAGCCAATCGGCTTCTAAAGTGGTACTCAGAGGGTGGTTCTTTTCGCTTATTTAAGCAGAGGTTGAGGCCACCTAAAGTCAGTTATCGCCAATTCGCCACTAGTTTTTACTATGAGTGATCGCCGGAAATTTAATTGCAAAGTCTCAACGAGTTCTCGATCCGTTTCTCATCATCTAGTTCATCTGCCGCCCGGTGTTTTAGTAAAAGCTCTCCAAAGAGGTGATAGTTATTATTTTTTTTAATTTCAATTCCAATAAAGTATCAGATTTGGGAACTAAACCTTTTAATTGGGAAATTACTCTTTCAATTATATTTAATTTTTCTTTAGTCAAAAATTGTTTATCTCCGATTGACCAATAAAGTGCTATTTATAGAACAGTTTTGCGACAATAAAGTAGCACTTTATTGTACTAGTAAAATAAAGTGCTACTTTATTTTACTAGTAAAATAAAGTGCTACTTTATTGCCTATCTGGACTACCTGATAAGGTGAAACAGGTCCTGACAACCTGCCAAAGTGAAACAGGTCCTGACAACCTGCCAAGGTAAAACAGGTATACCTACGCGAATTTTACTTTTTTCATTCAATTTTTTTGATTTTTAACAAAAACCAGTCAGAATCGTACATAAAATCATGTATATAACGCTTACATAAACAGGCTTTATTGACTCATTATTTAATAGCCTCGCTCGCAAGCTCGCTCGGCCATAAAATTATTCGTACAATAAAGCCTTACTGTATGTACTTGTTATATAAATAGCTATTATTGTCTATTAATTAAATAAGGTAATCTTTTTTCTTCAGTTTTTTTTAATTTTTTTATATTGTACTTTACCTTTTTTTTATCACTAAATAATTAACGCTAACTTTTCTTTTCTAGTTTTAATATTCCCTTCAAAACACTGGTGGTCGCGTACGTAGAAAGATCTTACGTGCCGGTTTTGTGCGGTTAGAGAACGTGTTTCCAACCCCAACAGAAAAGTGGTAAGTGGTACTAATTTTGAGTTTCTAATAACACCTTTTAATAACTACCCCAAAAAGAGAAGACAGAAGATCTCGCTCAGATTGCCTCCGGTTCAGAAAACTGTTATTTACTGCTTCAGATCAAATTTACTTTTCAGCATAATTTACCACGAAATTTTAAGATGTGGCAGAATTATTCACGCTACGAAAATATCAATACATAACATCTCAATTTTGTTACAGTCTGCAATGCCATGAAGTATTTCTTTTACAAAGCCATGAATTTCATTTGAAAATTTGACATTTTCTATGTACTTCATCCAAGAATACCGAAAAAAATACATTACATGATTTAGAATGAAACAAGCATAATAATTTAGTAAACGTATATTGTTTTAATTTTGATATTATACTTGAACACATTGTAAAAAAGAAATATTAACAATATAAAATTGGAACTAATTATGATCACATTCTATCCATCTAACATGCAAAGTTACAATAATACAATATCTAAATTAACAGGATGGAGTATTTAAGAAATTTTTTAAACATTTAATTCATATTTTCAGTTCATATTCTTAATGTTGGCTTATATGATTATCTTATAGTTATAATTCTCCTTAATTATCTAACATAAAGATATGCACATTTATCTGTCCATGTCTTAAACATATAAAATAATATATTTTCATTAAAATAATAATTGCACGCCAACTTTTAACTTTTGAAACATCAGTTTTTAACGCCTTTATTAGACCATTTTATTTGATTATGAGTATGTTTGATTTTTTTTACCGGAAAATTTTGATTTTTATTATACTTGAGTATGAGTGTTGCTATGCGGAGTCTCATTGTCTGTGGTCGGTCCTATTTGATTGGCTGGCGTATAGTACTGAAAGAAAAACAAAGAAATTAGAAAAAAAGCACAGTACAGAAATGCTACAGATTTAAATTTTAGTTTGAGAATTTTTGAGAATTTTGAGGTGCAACGCATAGATGCAGTTATCTTCGATACATATGTAGATCGGTAGGTTATATGTATATTGCATAATTCAAGTGGTTACTATCATCTTTTTTTAACATGAAACTGTTATTTCAATAGAAACTTTTTTTGTCTGGGTCGGTAGTGTTATTGGTTAGGGTTAGTTTTGTTGTGCCATGATTTTTTTAGGAACTGGATGGCCTAATCTACTTTCGATTCCGCCGTGCAAAACTTTCAGCTTTTTGATAACGGGTCAATGAAAAGTTATTTTCGTACTAATTTTCTTGTGTGCTACTTGAGAAATAAATTGCCTACCGAACTGTACCTATAAGGGTCGGTATCTCAATAGCGAGTAGCCTCCGAGTTGGTTTTAGCTCCAGGGTAAACGTGTCCAGTTGCAATGTTAGGTTATGCTTAACCCGGAGGTGACTTGCTATTGTGAAACCGGTCCTAAATATAGAACAAAGATGAAATGGAAGAATTGGACAAGAACTCGTCATGTGTAAAGCTTCTATTGTGGCTTAGGGAATTCGAAGCAAGAGAGTTTGGGATCAAATAGGCAATCAACGATCTGAGAAACAACAAATCGCCCAGGAGAACATGGACTGACAGCTAAGATGCTGAAAGAGAAGAAAGATACTGGATGAAAAAGCTAAACTATCATTGAGTCAAGCTGCCTGAACCTTCGAAATCAACTAGATGATCTAAAGAGAAGACAAGAAAATCTAGATATTTGATTGGGTTTTATTTTACACAAGAACTTTGTTAAGTGAATATGATATTAGCTCAAAAGTGTAATACTGCTTAATTTCTAAGGTTATACGAGTACATAGCATGGCTGGCACGAACAAAGTTAAGTTCATTATCATTTACTCTATGGTTTGAACTCAGTGTCAATGTAAAATTTTAAAGGTCGAACCGACCTAATTAATTTAACTCCTACACCAAAAAGTTACTTTAATCTAACGACAACTTCTAAAGCTTGCAAAATTTCAACTTTAAGACATCATAAATTGAAATAATGATTTATTAATTTAATTAAAATGAATTATTTAAATTTTGAAATTTCAAAAGTTAATATTTCAGGTTTCAAATCTAAATTGCTACTCCACTAAAGAAATAATACTCATCCACCTGGGATAGATAATGGAACTTGATAAAGTCACCCAAACAGAGGAAATTGCACGCAGAGCCAAGCTAGTAAAGATTCCGATTTACTTGAGAAGCAAAGTCGATGCGACTTATTTATAAATAACAATGTCGATGACAAACTATCTCTCTCGAAGCGCCATGGAGCAGATAAGGCTGAAGATAAGACTCTCCAGAAAAAAGAGAAACTCAGCATCCAACATGAACTTTGATGGAAAAGAAACTCAGAATGATTTAATACAGTGGAGACCATATACTAGGCCAAGATTAAGAAGCAAACCCCAAGTGAGATGGATCGACGACCTCAAACCAATCGCTGTATTATACCTGGGGACCAGTGGTTCAAAATAAAGTTCGCTGGTGAGAATTGGACGAAGTGTAAATATCTAAAGATGGACAACAGGGTTAAGTAAAAGAAGAAGAAAAATGATTCAATCTTGTGTGAAAATACACTGCAAATTATTGGCCAACATTCAGGAGTTGATAAAAGTAGGCTGGAGAAGCAGCTTCTCTTGATGTAGGTATGGTAGTTCTCTCTCTGATGATAAATATTCTTTGATTGAGGATTTTGTTTTGTGTTAAGGATTCAAAGGAGAAATATTTTGAAAGTGCTATGCTTCGATTTATTTTGTGGGTAGACTGTTTGAATGTTATCTATGTTAGTTTGAACTATTCTCCAATTTTGGGATGTTCATCAATCATCGGTGAATTTTGTATTTATTTTTAGTCAAGCAAATTATTGTTTCATTTTATCAAACTCCCCACGCACCCGTAAACTTCACAGGTGACAAAAAAGGTAATTTTAACGTTAAATCGATCAGGCATAAACACAATTACCCGCCGATGCACACAAATTATCGTTGCTTTTTGTGAAATTTTTATTATCGGCGTTGACCTAGATGAGGGTGGATCGGCGGACTTTTACAATGGAATTTTAGGCGTTATTGTTTTCAAAATATAACAAGCTTCAACGTTGATTATTGCATAATTTAACCGCACTTAAAATAGACACAGGCTTTTTTAAACGCCGCTTCAAACTGGAAACAAAATTATTTGGATTAGAATTGGGTCAGAAGGTCATCGATAAACAAACCACCGATAACGAATAAATCTTTCTAAAAGTGGAAGTTCCTTCCCCATTAAACGCACACCATCACGCATGAAATGCAAAGTGTAAACTAATTAGAGCCTTAGGAGGCAATACATTTATTATAGCCTATGGAAAGTATGTCAGGAAAATATTTGCAAGGTTCACTTACTTTTGCTAAGTCAAAGTGTGAGGTACAAAAGTAAATAGCTTTCGACCTTAAGAATTCGATTCTGCAAGAATATTACAATTAATATTTGCCATTAAAATATTGAGTGTCGAAAATCTTCGACTTTCCGATAGGTATGACATTCTCATCTACTTTAATATTGGGATTTCGAAAAAACTCCAATGATATTAATGTCAAGAACGTATTTATCCACAAATATATACTTTTTGTAATTTTATAATGAGATTTTCTGTCATATTACCGGTTGAAATATTATGGATATTGACGATATTCAAATGGGATTTGGAAACGTTACGACTTCGTATGTGAACCTTTTTTTCATGAATTGATGAAGCAATAAACCAAAAAACCTACTCATGACTATATGAGCGTCGAAAAAAAAACAAAATTGGAATTTCCTGTCCCATTTCATTCCTGCCGACAAATAATAGAGCCTGCCAAAGTGAAAAAGAAAGATAAAAACCACCCCTTTGCCGTTAAAAACGAGCAATCCTTGGCGATATAATTAGGGTCATAGCAAATCCCCTTTAGGATTCTATCAATGGATCCTTCTTTTTTCGTTGGAGCAGTTTTCTATACATAGCCAGGCAATCATTGATTTTGAATTTGTATGCTCTGTGATCAGAGACAAGTTTGGGAAATTGTCGAAAAAAAATAAACACTCTAAAGATGTATGATATAGTTGTCTGCCCAAAGCTGGACCAAAAATCCTACGCTGTATTTACAATATTAGAAAGTATAAATAGAATAGAAATTTAAGTGTAGTTTGATTCATCTCTGGTACGGATTTTTGAAAAAAAAAAACCTTGACACAACACTTTTCAGGACACATTTAAACACGTCAACGTTTGCCAGCTGTTTGTGCATTTCTACAAACTTCTCTTTATGCATATCAAACATAAGCTCAAAAGAATAGTCCCAATCCAAAAAACTAACGACTTCTTAATTGACACTTTTGAGATTCTAGGGATCCCTCACTATTCAACAATTCAAATATCTAATGGTAGAGTCCTTTTTACATTTCGCAGCATACTTCAAGTTTTCCATGCAGAAATCTCCGCATCTCAAAACGCAAGATCAGGAAGAATCACAGTTTTCTCTTGTAAAATCTGTGGCTCTAAACACTTTTTTGATTGGCCTAGAACCTCACTTTGGCCAGATTATCAGGGCAAGAGGTGCGCACTCTATTTTTGATGGTCAATACAAAATTAGATAGAAATTCAACTCGCCTATTTTGATTTTGAGAAACAGAAAACATCGAAAACCTGCTGGCCATTCAGTTTCCGAACTAAAATTTCCCAGAACATCCCAATCAGCAATCCAAAATTACTGTTCAACAAAAATAAAATACCAGTGCGGTTGTAATCAATCAAATACCACCCAAAAAAATTTCAAATATGATTCTAACCAGCAAAGAACCAATCATCTAAATGAACCAGATATCTGATCGAGTATATGCCAACAAATTACGATGAAACTTTTCATTCTTATAATGATTATGAAGAAGGCAAAAATAATCGCATCGAAAGCAATCAGCAGAGATTTCGCCTCAGGATCAAACTTCAGATGTTCAGAATAATATACGACATGGACAATATGAATCAGAACCTCAATTTGTCAAAACAAGCATTTTTCCAAATCTGTAGATTCAAGATACCTTTCTCATATTCACGATGCTTGCAACAAATTTGATTTGCCCATCGATACAGGTGCAGAGATTTACAATAATTATGCTGGATACAAACTGTCATCTTCCTAACATTTGATATCCTCTAGATTATATGGAAGAATGTCAGTAGGTACAATGGTGTTTGGAACATCAAAAAAGTGCTAACAAAAAAAAACTGAACCCTTTTTCTTTTTCAAGGGTAAATTGGAGATTCGGATGAAATTCATTGAAAACATTCAAGATTATGTCCTCAGTATGGTCGGGTATGGCTGTGATGATATCATCTACATATAAATATAACATAAGAAGGGAAGTTGAAAAAGAGTAATTTGGGGATGACACTTATGAGGAGCTCGTTTACAACCATGTTATACAAAATAGGTGAAGCCGAGTTTCCCATTGCCGTACAAAAATCTGTTTGAAAAATTTGTTGTTATAGAGGAGAAATAACTTGACTCGAAGATGAGGGTGATCAATTCGACAGCTGGAATTGTGTGAGTTCCAAGTTTTTCCACAAACTTGAAGGAATATTCACCACATATTGAAATGTTGGTACCAAGTTATTTAAAATTTTGGCTACGAAACTGGATATGTTGTTGGTGGGTGACATTACACACGAAACAACAGGTCTGAGGGGTGTGTTTGGCTCGTGGATCTTGGGTAGTCCATAGATTTTTGGTGGAATAGAATTATGGCTTATGAACTTTTTTACTGAATCTTTGTCGAGGTAAATTTTCAACTAATAGTTTCTCTGTAACAAAAATATAGAAAATCAAAATAACTCTTTTCGAGCCAAAACGCAGTTGTAAATCAAT